GGTTGCCCCGGACCGATTTCACACAAGAAAGCAACCTTACAACCTCATTTTGTGCTGTGATCAACCCGGCGCACACAAAAATAGGGAGTGTCGATTGTTTACAAGCTAACCTTCCCCGCAAAGGTCAACCGGACGCACAGTTGTCGTTCACCTGGCCCAATTATACACACACACACACACAGGTAAATGCACGAATTTGCGCCATGTTCGTTGCACCAGTTGGTTGGATTTAGAGGAGAATTACCGAACGAAAGCAAACCGGGCAACGAATGTTCAGGTCGTTCAGGTCAACTGGTCTACTTGTTTGCGAGCGACCGAGCTGGCGCGCGCACACGCGAGCGCCAGCACTTGTTTAAATCGAGTGTATCTGATCAAGGTCATGGTTTATCAACGGTATGCCGAATTTTTATGCTGTTCCAGATTGCCACCAGCCGTGATCAATCTCGATATCCATGGGTTGTAAAATCGCATGATAGATCTTGCTGTGCGATAGGTATCCAATTCAGCCCAGTCAGAAGTAAGTCGGATATACGGATCGAAGGATGCTTCAGGATACGATGAAAACGCGAGTGGGGAGTTGTGGCATGAAATAGACATTTTAATTCGATCCGCTTCAATAAATTGGAGGTTTGCGAGCCCCGGGTGATTCGGATTGAGAGCACTGACGGTTTTGAGTGCTTAAGTAGTGCATTTAAAACGCGAATCAGTCCTACCAACTCAGAGTGTCCCCTACGTATTTATATAGCAGTGCATAAAGTAGTCCTTACGTGATATACAAAGTTATGCATCCCTTATTCGGGACGGTCATAGTGGGTTTTGTTAATTTAAGATAGTTGGTTCAAATGCCTATATATATATATATACATATGTATTTATGTATAAGCTACTTAAGATGTATTTCGGTAAAAAACTGCAACTTCTGTAACTTTATGAAGTACTTAAAAATTCCGTCGGAATCTACCACACCATGACTACTCATGGTGTATAGTCGCGTAAAACATCTCGAATGTCTAATTTTGTATGATCGATGGCGGGAATTAACGAAACACTGGAAGAAGAGTGGGGACAGTTAGAAGTTTTTCCACTTCGAACTAATGCACCAGCGACCAGACCATAACTAACAGAAAGTTCCAGACTGTGTTTTTCTTTTTTCGCTGCTTGACGAAATAATCAATCCCATCATTTTTCACGGCATCAATCAACAGACCAAATACACTTCCAAAAAGTAGCCTCTTCCAGAGTGTCTGACACCGCGCTCAGAAAGCTTCTAAGACTCTCATATCTGCCACAGTAACCATAAGTATTCACTCTATGTAGGTCACCCCAATCTTCTCATTTCTCTATATCCGCTAGCAATGCTCTGATAACCGCTTACCCTTATTTGATTTCGCCTGCATTGTTATCTATTCAAAAAACTGAAGTAGAACGATTGTTAATATTTTATATTGCTATTATTATTATTATCATTATTATTTTAATTCATTTTTGGGGTCACGAAAATTGAGTTTCTATGCACATAGTTATGACCATAAAAAGTCCGAACATATTTCAACCAGTTGTCCAGGCTTTCGAAGGTGCGACACCTACCCAAACGGGTCTCGCAAAGTCAGTTTAAAGCTTAAATAATATGTACTTGAATTTGCAAAGAGAAGCAGAATTTCCAATCTATCCAGTGTTCTATAGTACTTTCATTGTGGACATTTATGAGGAGTCCACCGAACGGAGCTGCAGTCGTCTAATTAATCCAGTCTTCTTAGCTTACCGGACTATCAGATAAGCCGATGCGGAATGGTTGTGGTTTAATACTCCAATTCTCGATGAGAGCAGTCTGAATTGTTAGTCCGAAATCCGTTGGGGACTTTGCACTCTAACAAATGACTGGTTTCTATTTCCTCTGATGGGAATGGTCGTACACCGTGGATTTTGTGAGCGGGGTGTCATTTGATCTCGGACCCGGTCATGATGAACAGGATTCCAAAATAGACAAATGGTTACCAGTGATCAATCAGAGGAAAAAGGAATAATTTATCTATTTGATCCATTTCACGAAGGAAAGTTATAATCTTATCGAAATATCAGTCCGGTGCTCTTTAAAAATAAAGAATCTTGGTTTGAAGTTAGTTTAACTCTTCCGATATAAGCATTATGTGATCCAGTGACAGGGCTACTCCAGGTTCGATGATCGAGTCGCCAAATCAGTTCAAATAATCACGTTTAAAGTGGCTATTTTTGCCCTCAGTTCACAAGTAGAATAGTTATTCGGTATTGGAAATCTGTGAGACGGTGAAACTTCCGTCTGTTTCCCCAAATGCAGATCAGTTGTTGCATGTGGATCGCTGACAAATTTTTGCGCTGTTTTTCACATCCGTCGTTGTGAGTTTCTGACCGACAGGCAAACCGACCGTTTGTCCGTCTACTCCTCTAAGCGCGCGCACACACACACACAGAGAGACCTGTTGTGTGCTTGGTTGCTGCCATCGTCACTTGCCCTCCTCCACTAAACGCGCCCACCTGTGTATGCTGCGGAAAGGGGCTATGGACGCATATGACTCCACACAGGCGCCAATGTGCACATTCAATCAATCTGTGCGCCTAGCACAAAGACACTCGAACCCAAACACCTGATGCGTGTGCTACTCTTGGATGAGTCACACACTCGGACTATCACACGCGTACGTACGTGCAGTCCTGCCTGGTAGGAAGAGGAAAAATGATATGGAAAGCTGTTTCGAGGTCGAATATTTGTGTTGACTGGGCTTGAGGCGTGTTTGTGTATATGCACGCACGTGTGTGTGTGTGTGTAAAGTCGAGCCCGAGGAACGGAGACAAAGTTGGCGAGTTATGGTAGTCACAGATGATGAGGCTACACACGCTTCACCAGTGTCTATGTTTACGTTTGACCCGCCTCTCGCTTTGCACCTTTGGGTGCACATTATCCGCGGCTGTAGAAAAACACTACTGTGGCAAAATTACACTGCGGAATGATCATCACATGGGACAGGAGAAAGAATTTGCTCGCATGGATTCAGTCCCAGTAAGTGATTCGAATCACCACTGCGGTTCGCCTCACTCTCTCTCTCTCTCTCGAACGAACGAACGAACGGACGGACGGACGGACGGACGGACGGACGGACGGACGGACGGACGGGCGGGTGAACGGATGAGGTGACGATACAGCGGGGAGTTGGGGGGTGGGAGGTGTATGAAGGGGGGAGGAACCGAGTAAATAACTACCACCGGGGTATGTTTTCGGAAAAGAACAATCTTCCAGTGATGACTAATCGAGAGTTGGAAATTTAGGAACCGTACAATACTAGTGTATAGTGGATTGAGTAAATTCGCTGTTGGAATCTGAGTAACTGTCTTTCCGGATCCTACATAAATAACAAACAAATTGTAAATTATCAGTCTGATGCGTCTTGGTGCACGGCTCGTGCGCGATTGTGAACTGCCATATGTTTCTCTGGGTTTTAAGGGATTTCAATATCCTGAGAGATACTTGAGAGACGCTGAAGTTGATCGTCCAACCTTGTGGAGCGCCCCAGACCGAATCTGCCCGGGAATGTTCGGAAAGGTAACTGTCGGGAAGGTAATACGATTGAGGTGCAAAATAAACGAACAATCAGTAATCGTCATCAATTTTATAGACTGAATTCCAGCGTCCGGATCAAGAATGAACAACCCCTGTTGGGCTATGCAATAATAAGCGTATGAACAATTATTGATACTTTTCTAAAAGACGAATTACTGTTCGATGGACCCTGATTTGCACAGTTTTAGGTTCAAGTTCCTCTGTCATCCACGAGCTCCCAATCGGACAGTCCCAGCATGGTGTTAGGAAGATATGAACTGCGTGTATAAAATGCGGAACAATCTTACCGAAACAATTCGGCAGAAATTAGATTTGACGGTTTACACTTCGGATCACCCGTGTTCCAGTCAGTTGCTCATCATCAAGCCTGAGTCACAACAAGTCCGCTTATCCATTTCCGTGATCAGCTTTATTTTATTTCATTTCTCTCCCTATGATCAAGAGTAGAAAGGTGAACTCGATAGTTATGAGTTCCAACCGTTCAGCTCAGAAATCGGGCAACCTGAGCCCCCGGTTTGCAGCGGCGAATAAGACTGGAGAAGCATGGGAGTGAGTCAAAGTGTATTGAAGCTACCTTCCTTCAAATTTGAATGTTTATTGCTGGATTCGAACCTCGGACCTTAGCGCGGAGTGCGGTAACAGTAACAACAACAACAACTGGCACTGCTACCCTATCATCAGTAGATATGATGCCTTATTTTAATACTTAGCAAACTTAATTCACCCTGGCCACCGATTTTGTGCTCTATACGTATAGTATAAAGCAAGGGGCAATAAATTTTACAAGCCTGAAGAATATTGATGACTTTGAATGGAAAGAGGAATCCGTCGAATAGATCATCAAATAAGGGAGGGGGAAGTAATACTCAATTAATTACTCATTTGTCGTGCACAGGCACATATGTGAAAAATAACCATAGAACAAACCCAGGTTTTCAACAATCATCAGAACAATTTTGACCCAAAAAAAATGTTGAGTAACTATTCACAATGATTCGTCCTAACAATCCGCCGGTACATGATCTCGGATAGGAGAAAAAAATAATAAATACTGGACCTAATTTCGAGACTTAACATAAACGAGTGATGTGGAAGGAAAGCAATATCCACCTGGGAGAGAGAGCCCCCTTTGGTCACATCAAATAGATTGGTCCACCCCTTCCTTCATGATGGAGATATCGAGTTACCACACCGCATTTCAGGCATAGCATTGTTATTTACAATACAGAGGGGCAGCGCTGAAGCGACATAGGTGGTGTGGTGGTCATTGTCATATTGTTCAAAGCTTACGTCTTCCAATCTCATCACTGTCGACAACCAACTCCTTCACATATATCTGTTCTTAAAGAGCTTTGATTGGCCACAACCTCCTTGAATAAAACTGTTAGCCTGTCTTTATTATTATTGTTATTATTATTATTAGTAGTAGTAGTAGTACTTTTACGTTCAAGCGGTACTTATCAAGACTCATTGCAAGTTGTTCTCCACTTCGCGTGGAAAAGACCTTCGGCTATTCATCTTTGTCTAATTCTCTATCACTCATAAAGCATATGAATAATAATCACAACACTGAGTGTGTGTGTGTGTGTGTACGTGCGCCTAAACACTCACATTAAATTCACTTTCCGGTTTCCGAACGGATCCGTTCATGGAATGTACAATCCCCGGGGAGTGAATTGGCGGATGTGAAGGATAGAAAACGTTTTGAAACGGCACAGGACCAGACAC